AAGGTGTCCCTGCCCATGGCAGGGGGGTTGGAACTAGATGGTCTTTAGGGTCCCTTCCAACCCAAACCATTCTGTGCTTCTGTGAACTTTACACTGGTGTATCTCCCTACGTCACTTCTATCTGTTCACAATAACTGCTTCAGCATAGCCTCAGAGTTATTCACCATACAGGTCACACAGCTGCACAGAGACCCTCACAGTGTGCTCCAAAAATTGATCTGCCCACACATTAACTGCATTTAAGTTATATACAGAGAACAGCTGTATAAAGCTTTGGTATCACTGTGCTTTTCATAGTCTGTGTAGTACCTTTGTGGTCCACAGTAAAGAGACAATAAATTTTAAAAATGCAGCATCACTACAAAGCTTAGCCAAGAGGAAGACAAACAATAGAGCTGTATCAGCTGTGTAAAGCTCATTGCTACAAGGTAGGAAAAATGTGCTGCCTTTGGAGTGTATGTTTCCATCAGCTTGAGGGAAGGAAACAACAGAACTTTCAAACTGGCATCTGAGAGAACAAAGTTTCAGGATTAACTTACACCGCAATTTTCTACCATATCACATTCATCAAGATTAATATCCAAGTTAACTTCATTACATTTATTTAAGAATGCCACCTTATTTTCTACTCTATTCAACTTTCTTATTTTATACTGTAACAAAACATACCATCAAAGAGATTCTGCCTCATAAAAAGGTGTCCTGCCTTTTGTCCATTTTGAAAAAGCTACGCATGCAAGAACTAACAGGATAAACAGGATATGTGATGAGTCACCAAGTACACAAACCAATGCTTTGACAGAGAGGAAAAAACCTCATGCATGAGACAGTTAATTCACAACGTTGCTCTGTATCAAGTCCCTTTTCTCCCCAGCAAACTCTAATTAAGGCATTTACACAACTCCCGTTCTTACACATCCCAGACCTGTCTAAAACCCAGACAGTTGCTCTAGTTCGGTGGCCTTCAAGCTGTAGTGGCCCACAGACAGCCATGATGCCCAAACTACATTTTGCTCTCCCCTCCAGCCTCATTTTTAAGTGGCTGTATGTGTTGTACCACAAGCAGAATTGGAAGATCTTGCCCACAGCCCATAATTTATGGCTCATCATCCTTGCTGCATTAAGAAGGTACAGAACATCTCTGTTTACTTCTGCTGCATGAAGAGGAATACCCTCCACGAACATGACAGAGACAAAAATACAACATTGCTAAAGTGCTTCCTCATATAGATTTTCCACAGGAGATAATACCATGCAGAACATGGTTGTTCTCCCCATACACTGCCAAACTGATAAAATAAGTCAAAACACAGCAAATGCAAAAAATGCTTGAGTGTTAAAAGACTTTCCAAAGGAGACTGGTGATTGGTATGTGTTTCTCCCCCACCCCACACTTTCTGTGAACTATCCCATTAAAAAAAAAAAAAATCTGCCACTGCAGCTAAGAAGAGTTTGGAAATAAATTACTTAAGTTGGATTGTTGACATAGGGCTAGAAGAATTACACCCCCAAATCCCATTAACAGTTGGAGATAAGTCTTCCTCAGAAACATGGGAATTAAAACCCTATAAAGGCTAAAAGGAGGAAGACTGTAGGGCAATCCACCACTTACATCATCCGAGTGTAGTGGAGCAGCTACGGAATTTAAGAGGGCAGAGTGCCAGAGCGCTGCAAAAATAGCAGCAATAAATGCCAACACAATGAAGAAACTAAACTGGTTTACTTCTAGATAAGAGCTTTTTCCTCCATCTACACAGAAGAGCAAACACCTCCTTCTGCAGTGGACTTTGTCAATAGCCAGAGAAAGCAACGAAGGCAACAGAAATACCCATCACATACCTTTTAGCAGCTTGCTAAAATCAAAGTTGCTCCGTGCTACCAAGTGGGGCACAACCTTCTGATACAGGCATATGACCTGAAGCAGGGCAGCTTTCAGAAACAGCGTCTCAGCATCATCCGAACCTAAGCAAAGCGTTTACAGCATTAGTTTTGCCTTCTTTCACACCAAGAGAGAACAGTGCAGCATCTGCATTATCCAACATGAGAATTACTAACTATAGATCCAATACTCTTGCCTATGAGATACGTTATCTTCCACAGTAACAAAAAGAAACAGAAAAAAACCCCATGGTATCCCCAGTTTCCTTTCCCAGTATTCCTGTGTAAACATTTTTAAAGCTAAGCCAGCTTATTCAGTGCTTAAATTGACAGTTGCCATTTTTAATTTGATTCAAGAGTGCTCACGCACATAAAAAGACAATCTTAACATTTTAACACTCACTATGAGACTCCAAGCAGTCCCACTGCTGTTCAATTTAAAGCTGAACTCCAGAAAAAAGGGATGGCAAGTACAAGGTCATGTTGCTGGTTTCCAAGGACACTACTTTTATCTAACGCCAGGTATGTTTGACCAGGGAAGCACAGGAGACTGTACCCTAATTTATTCCTTTGGTTAAAGGGATTTTTCTCTTTCCATTCCCTCTTTCAAAATAATAATTTCTCAATCTGACCTCTCTTGGCAAGAGAAAGAAACAAGTATTTGTATGAGAGAAACACCAATCCCAGTTAAGACAGCTGTTTACTTCTTAGGAAAAACTATTTCAGCAGCTAAACGTTCTTCTAGTTCATAACATGAGGACACAAAAGCTACTTGTGATCCAGTCACTAATGAAAGGAAGCAAAATAAATGAAGGGCAGCCAAAACTTTTGTAACACCTACTTTTTCCTGTTAACTGGGTCTCCCTCAGGGAGACGAAGAACTGGATGGATGCCACGCACAGACTTTGTCTTTGTTTGCCCGAGACTCAACTCCCGTTAAAAAAAGAATTCTCTAGTGGTCACAATGCAAACCAAGCTGTAAAAGGTGAGCTGAGAGTAAGTGATACTGTACTATCACCCTAGTATGCAGGGAAACCACAGCTCCAGTACTTTAGAGATCAGCTGCTTCATTGGTTTCAGCAGGCACTCTACCAATATTGAGCCTTGGAGTGCCAGCGCTGACAACTGTTTTGCTCCCCAAAGCCACACACAGAAGGACATACTCCAAAAAAACTGCTCCAGGAAGTCTCACTGTGGAATATGCCCTGTGAAGAGCAGGAAGCGGGCCACAGGTTTATATTCAGTCTTTAAGTAAAACATTGCAGGCTGCTCGCCAAGCTACAGAGTACTAAAACTTCTAGTTCCCTGCAACGGAACTACAAAAGCAAATCCTTCAGTAGGGACACTGGTTTTGAGAGAGAACAGCAGCTTTCACTCCAACCCTCCCTCTTCCAACACTTCCATGGTTTTATTCCTGTCTACAGCAACACAAGCATTTATGTAGCCACAGTAACTGCTTCACAAAAGTGAACCAATGGTGAAATAACTTGACTGAACTGAAAAACCTCCAAAAAAATATTTTTCAGGCATATCAATTTATCTGCTTGTCGAACTGCTTAACCTCCAAAAAAAAATTTGTCAGGCATATCAATTTATCTGCTTGTTTCATTGACAAGACAATGTCCAGTGGTCCCTTCCAACCATTCTGCAATTCAGTGACAGCAGAAAGGCAAACTGCTTAACCCCCTAGAAGCAACGGCAGCCTACCTGTCAAACCGTTCTTAGCCAACTCTGACACTGGTCAGAATTCAACTGCAGAAGAGACTGAACCAGGCAAAGACGAACAGTAAATCCAGAAGTGACATCTGGACTCTGTCGAAGCTAACAACCTCACATGGGAGGAGGATTTCATTACAGCCTTTCACAAACAAGCAAGAAGGGGTAACTCTGCGTGCTTTGCCTACCATGCTGTTCAGCAACTTCTGCTGTCTCAGTCGTTGCCTTCACGGTGGAGGTATCGCTTTCCCTCTTCTCCTGTTGGCCATCGTGGTGTTCTCTCCCTTGCTTCAGAAGGGACTGCCAGACAGCCACTATATTGTTCATGTCTGGTAAAAGCTAGAAGCAAAAAAAGAGTAAATTGCAGTAGCTCTCCTGCGTGAGACAAAGCTACTGTGATAAAAATATTCACAAACAAACAAACAAAAGGATTTGCTGCTCTTCACAAAGGTTGTAACTAATTTTGTACACAACTGGAAGAAGATCTGAAATCAAGTGCGTTTTGCTGAAGAAGTTTCCTGTAGAAAAAAAAATTACATTTTGTTCTTCATCCTCATGGTATATTTTGAACACAAGTGCTACCTGGTCTAGAGTTAGTCTGGGTAAACCCTGCTGGCTACAATTTCCTTGAACCATGAGGAGAAGTTGCTTCCAAGCCTGCTCTTAGAATTCACTTGCAGCACAACAGCTGCCAGTGTTGAATTCTGCTCACAACAAAATTTTATTTGCATTTCCATCATCCAGCTTGCCTAGGAAATGTAGTCTGCTACCACACCAGTCGTCACCACCTTTTAATCCACAGTATCTTTGGGCAGGGGGAGGGGAATGCTATCTCCAGCCTCCTAGGCTGCAACCCCTTGGGATGAAAGTGTAGAGAAGTAGTTATCTGCTGCAAAATGACTCAAGTTAGACCCCAATTTTCTTTTCACTTTGTACCTTGCTGACGGCTTCTCTGTACAGCTGTACGAATCCCTGCATCATCGACAGTGTGTAGAATTCCGACTTCTGCCAAGTTTCTTCATTCAAGCAGTACTCAATATTCTTCAAGGCTCTTCTCAGAACCATTGACACAAGCGACAGTATGCTGTGCTTCACTACGGTGCTGGGTAACTGAAAGAAGTTTAATTAAAAGGCATTTCAGTGCTTCCTCTTGTGCTCCGCACATAATCTGTACTCTGAATATATGTTAATTTGTTAAACTAATTACTTCCTAAACCTTGGTTAGCAGGAAATAAAAATCCATAGGTTTTCAGATTCCCAGCCTAAACCACTAGTGAGCATTCACAGAGCTGGTGCTTGGCTCTTACAAGAAGTATCAATGGGTTTTAATTAATTTTCCAGTGCTTCCCCAAACCTGCTTTAAGCTGGGACAATACAAAACACATGTAATTAACCAACTTAAGCAATTTCTTGGATGATCATACACTTAAATCAAACCAGGACAGAAAAATTCACTGAAATACTGTAGACTGCTCTTACATTTAGTCCTTGGGTGAACATTATTTTATTGCACACAGCAGGGACTGTTGTTACCATCACCATAGAAATCAACCTGGGAAGAGGAATAAACTCCGAAGTCTTAAAAGAATGGGAAATCTCTGGTTGAGCCTCATAGATCTGAAATAAAAACAATTTAATCAACATTGATATACTCCTGGAGACAACAGCTTCTTCTGGGGAGCATTTTACAGAAGGCTTTTACTTTGACTTGTCAGAAGTAATGACACCACTACATACCAATTTTTATGCAGAAATTTTTATATATTTTTATGCTACAGAGCATCCCCCAGACTTCAAATAAATGGAACATCTGTATGCAACCTGCACCCCTGCCAAAGGCCAACCCTTTTCAAACAAACTACAGATCCTACTTTTACGTTTTAAGCTAAGGCAAAGAGACAGAGGAACACTCAGAAAGGACAAAAGGTTCTTCTAGCTGAACTTTGATGTTGCTGCAGCTCAAAAAAAAACTATCAACGTGATGTTTCCCACTGCTTCTCATGCCAATTCCTTCTTCCCTGGTTTAGTTAAATGTTTATACAGCCTCCTGCTCTGAACATGGCTTTCTACCAAATGACCTTCCAACTCTATGTCTACACTTTTTAAAGCAGCTGTGGCTCTAAGCCATGCCTCATTTTCCTCAGCACCACAGAAAACAGGATGCCATTTCCCCCCCTCCATTTACCATCTTCGACATTTAACAGCATCCTGCTGCTTCTTTCCTAACATACCTACAGTAATTTCCAGTGCTATTTCAGAGGCATTAAGTCCTTCCTGTTTAGCTCACTTAAGCCTTTGTCACTTAAACTTCTCCACTGCTGGACTGACTTGTTTTTAAACTAGTTATTCATGAGATATTGTGCCTGTCTGCTTTTTAGTGATTTTAATACACTGTAAAGCACTGCGCATTTACAGCTGTACACACAGTACATCTTCAGACACACGAGCTTCCTCTGATACAGAGCAGCTGCTTCTGAAACAACAACAAAAACCCCCACTCCTTGATCCTCAGCTTAGTTCCCCTGAAATCAATGAAATCTTGTTCCTTGTCACTAGGAATTCCTCAGCTAAATTCATTAATTTGGAGTTAGCTTATACTTAAAACATGGCCATACCACAGGCTGGCTGGGCTCTGTACTGCACAATACCCAAACTGTACCAACTTCTACATAGGAATGGCATTATATTATCTTTCTGTAATAAAAGCAATGGAAGGCAGGCTTACCAATCCACCACCAAGTTCCTTGGCTTGGTACTTTTTCCTGTAGGTCAGGAATGTTTGACTCTACCACCTTTCCTATTACACTTTTGTACAATTCTGCACTACTGTAACAAAAAACTACTTCCATTTTTCGAGGAAAAAAGAAGAAGTATTGGGAGTGCATATTTCTGTGGAGAGGTGGTGTGCATCACTCATGCTCTTACCTTTTTGAGTAACTTCATGTTGTCCATCCAAGCTGACTTCAGTCTAGGAACGAAGGAATACCGGGTCTCCTTAAAGTATCTGTTCAGTAAGTCTGGGCATACTTTGAGAATATTCACCATGAGATCAGCAACCATTTCATCTTCTGTTGCAGTTTTTAAACCAAGCAGGAAGCGCAGAAGCACCACGTTTCCTCCCCTGTTGAAGACAAAAATACTTTAATAAAGAAATCCCTGTTCTGATACTTTACGTGTGATGTTAACTCTGCAACTCCTCAAACTGTTGCTGGGGTAAAGCCAAGGCAAAACCTCTCATACTGCTGGAATTTCTGAGTTTGTACTCAGAAAAGTAAGAAAATTACCTCCAGGTTTTCTGGATGACAAACAGTAATTACTTTTAATTAAATGATAATGTTTCAGAAATATTCTAACCAAACTTCACAAAGCTAAATTAATACTTTAATGTAAAACTTGGAAGGCTCCGGGGAGACCTTATTGCCCCTTCCAGTACCTGAAGGGCCTACAAGGAAGCTGGGGGGGGCTTTTTACAAGGGCCTGTAGTGACAGGACAAGGGGAAATGGGTTTAAACTGAAAGTGGGGAGGTTTAGATTAGATATCAGGAAGAAATTCTTCCCGGAGAGGGTGGTGAGGCACTGGAACAGGTTGCCCAGAGAAGCTGTGGATGCCCCATCCCTGGAAGTGTTCAAGGCCAGGCTGGACAAGGCTTTGAGCAACCTGGTCTAGTGGAAGGTGTCCCTGTCCATGGCAGGGGGGTTAGAACTGGATGGTCTTTAAGGTCCCTTCCAACCCAAACCATTCTATGATTCTAATTATTTTCCATGGTGTTTCAGTTGTTGGGGGTTTTTGTTTTGCTTGTTTAAGTTTTCTTCCATATGTCCCTAAACAAAAAGGGAGAATACTGCAGATACCAGATGAGTTACAGTTAAAATTTTGCTCAAAGCAAGAAGTAACCTGCTCTAGCACCACTCTGTATTGGTACCCTCTCCTACAATCCAGTACCTTCTTTGCCCAGCTAACGTGATTAAGCATAAAACACACCCCTATGAGAACCCCTCCATGGAATTACAGGAGTCTATTTTCTCTATCAGTCACAATCTTAGTGCACCTGCCTTTTAACTAGGTAGCAAATGGAAACAGCAGGGCAAATAGGTGCTTCCAGGTTAGATGTTGCAGGCCAAATTCTGGCACTACTGAAATCAATGTCAGCATTTTGCCAAAATAAAATAAATTTGCCAATATTTACCAAAAATTTACTTGCCAAAATAATCCACCTCCAGTGATACCAAATGTCAACTAGACTAGCTATTTCACCACCACGTGGTTAATACTGCAGCTTTGATGTTTTGTCACACCAAAAAAATCTGCAGCCCAAAAAAATCACAACTTATAGTAAGGACTTGGTATCTGGTTATTCACGGAGATGGCTCAGAGAAACACAACCACTGCCTAAGCCCCTGTGCATAGGGTAGGGTGCTCTCTGGTACACTGAGGTACCACAGGAGATCCCACAGTTTGATCTTGGGAAGTTTAAATTTAAAAAAAAAAAAAACAAACACCCACACACAGCCAAAAAACCCGCAAAGACCCCAATGCATTTATTTCTTCTGACGCAGAAGAAAGTCGGAAGCAGAATTCAGCAAAGCTACTGGCAACAGCCTGGAAGGACAGACAAGGTAACTAGCAAGGTCTCCCTTGCTCCCAGCACAGCTACAATCTCAGCCATCTGGTGACTTACTTGCCGGACGTTCCAAGACTTGGATCATAGAAGGTTATGCCATATTTCAGAGAGCAGCAGAGGTCCATTAAGAAATTATGAACAAGTTCCCGTACCATCACCTTTCCCACCTCTTCAGAACCTTGAGTCACCTGTGAAAATCAGAAGGGAGGAAAAGAGGCGTATGATTTTTGCTATCACGGAAGAAAATCTCACATCCATTTCACTCTTCTCTGAGCTTTATGAAGCTCCTTTTATACAGAAATACTAAAAGACAGCTCGGCTTTTGCTCACACTAACAAGACAGATTTCAGTTTCTCTATTAAACAAATTAAATATTACAGTATTTTTTTGTTTCAAGGAAAGCAAACCTCACAAATGTAGGCACATATGTACTATCTGCAGGGCATTACTGACGTAGGACTTTTTGCTAAGAAGTCAGATAGAGGAAGATAGAGAAGAGTCAAGCTAAAGAAAAGTAGTGATATCAAGACTTCCATGGCAAGGCCATGCTGGGACTCTGAAATCAAGGACTTAATGTGAAATCACCAACCTTCAACCTTACAGGCCAGGTTCACTGTGAGGAAGCTCAGAAAGACCAAAGAAATCGCCAATTTATGGTTCAGCCTAAAGTATGTGAAAAAAGCAACATATTCTCTGTTGCCCAGAGAAGCTGTGGATGCCCCATCCCTGGAAGTGTTCAAGGCCAGGCTGGACGAGGCTTTGAGCAACCTGGTCTAGTGGAAGGTGTCCCTGTCCACGGCAGGGGGGTTGGAACTAGATGGTCTTTAACGTCCCTTCCAACCCAAACCATTCTGTGATTCTATGATTCATATGTTTTTGGGGCCAACTTGGCAGCAGACGAGCTACTTTAATAGAGGGCAAGAAAGATGGATAGCTAACAATGCTCAGAACTTGCCAACACTTCAGGCAAAGGTGCGGCACCAATGCCATGACATTCACCATACAAAAATGGAAAAAGTGACCAAATATCCACATCAAGCAAAAAGATTGCATTAACCTTTCACATCCAGCACAACTCAATATTCTTGCAAATGAGAAGTCTCTTCTGGACAACTCCAGTTGGGAAATCACAAGCCATATGCAAGGACTGCATGGAAATGTAAGAATTTAAAGTTACTCAAAACTGAGATGCACGTTAATGATGGGGGTCATAGATTTGCACAGCTCCAAGCAGACACCTCCTAGAAACAGATCTCCTCCAAAAGGTGTTTACAATATATCAGAATTGGAATAGAATAGGCATAAGCATCTAGTAGAGGAAGTAAAAGACGACAGTTGTTCAGTGTTAGAAAGTCTGAAGCTTTGGGCTTCTAAAGATCAAGTGTTAATCAACACAAAGGTGAAAAGCCTGCAGCCAAAACCCAACGGCAGCATGGGCTTTCTACTGCTTTGCACTGGGCTTACAGCCATGCCTTAGATATTCCCACAGTGAGAGGTGGGGACATGAGATCACACGATTAAGAAAAATAAAAAAGCAAGTAGGTTGCCTATTTATGAGGAGATGACAAAACATCTGCAGGACTAACACCAGCTGCAGCCCTAATCCTTGCCTCATCTAGGACTTTAGTAATGCAATTTCATGGACCAGTAGAATCAGGAACAGCTCAGCCCTCAGAAACCCTGCCAACCCCCCAAACAGTGCAAGCTGAAAAGGCTGGCAACCATCTAGGGAGTTTAGCCCTCATCTCAGATCAGCTTGTAGGATGGGAATGAGGCACGTGGTAAGAACATTCCTTCCAATATAGTCTCCTATAGGGACACAAATGTGTCCAGGCAATGGAATACAGTACTCGCACCCAAAAGCCCCATTTCTCCCTGGTTAACAGATTCACACTGCAGTTCTGGAAATCAGGGAGGGGAAATGAACACCCTTCCTCGAGCAGTGAGGGGCAGCAGAAAGTCAGGGTTTCTTTAAGAAGCCTCAGCAGATCCCTCTTCTTGAGCTTATCAAGGTTAGGGTAACTGGGATCTATTTCAAAACCTGTGGGCTGCAAGATAGGAATTAAAAAAAAAAAAAAAGACAGGACAAGGACTAGGAGTTACAAAAAATTAACTACCAGACCTTTAAATCCCCAGGGCTGACATCAGTAATCCCATTCCACCGGTACAGTGAAGCAATGTGAATCAACACTTCTGCAGTAAAAAAGCCCACCTTCTGGGTTTTGGTGATATTTTTATTTTGAACCACCTGAAAACAAGAAAAGAGACAAACAACTATTTATTCCACATTATCACAAAATAATGGGAAATTAGCAACACACTTCATTCTAGCACACACAGAGCTCGCTCTCCTCACTACAGCAGACAGAAGGTTCTGCCTGTCCTGTTAACACTCCTTTCACACTCTCCTGCTCCCATCCTGACGTGCTTGAAGCCATAGGACTCTACACAAACTTCTGCATACTCTGCACATGCTCAACAGGATAGACTTCCAAGTTCAACTGAAGAGCACCGAGCGTATTTATAGTGGCATAGCCACAGACTAGGATAATGGAAATCTGCTACAAATACAGTCTGAATGAATGGGAAAACACAGTGGAGGAAGTTGTCAAAAGTTCTCCTACTGTCTTCTCCAGTCCTCATTTTTTTTTTTTAAATCTCACTTTCCTTGTTAAACTGAAGGAGTCGGAACGTATTAGGTTTCACCCAGAAGTTAATAGTATGCGATGTACGATTCCCACATGGGAAAAGCTTCATTCAGAAAACAAAGCTTCAAGGAGGTTTATTTTCCATTGAAATGTTAGCTTTTTTCTTCTTCTTCCAAGGTTATTGCAATAGAAAAATGAAAGAATATTCTTGACTTTAAATTGTCATTTGTGAAAAGCCTGAGTATGAGGCAGGCTCTTATGTTTACACTCTAAATTTGCAACTATTTTTTCTTCATTCTCTCAGTTGGCCATACAACAGCTTATGCAACATTGCTACAGTCGTTCAAAACAGATTCAAAAATCATAGATACTGGAACTAAAACCATTTTTAAAAAAACATTTTTCCAGAAAGGAAATAAATCTCTGGTGCAGTTACAGTACCCACAGCAGCAATAAGCTGGTGCACCACAGGGAAAGAAGCACTGCCATGCTAAGAAGGTAAGAAAGAGCAGAGCACACAAAAGGGAGTCGAGACTAAACAAACTCTTACACCTCTCAGCAACTCCTGCTTTCAAGTTTTCTCTCTCAACCCTGCAATATCACAAGGTTATTTCTGCCTGATATGAAAGAATCAGAAAAAACAACTTCAGAGAGAGGAGCAGACTTACCCCTCCAACAGTAATTTCTGACAGCAGGTGGTATGTACCTTCCCCTCCCAACCCCCCAACAAAAACTTCTCTGATTCTGAGAAGTTTATAGACAAGACTTCCCTTTTACTCTACCTCACCAAGAAATACCTTTGACTATCTCCTACAGCAGAAACTCTGCCAGCCTAACCAAGTCCAAAGGCCAGCTATCCAGGACCACAGGATGTGGCCGCAACGGACCCCTGCCAAGGCTGGCTGGGGCACGGTCCCACCCACTGCAACCTGACAGCTGCTGGAAACCCACTTCATGTCACGGTCCCCATACTGAAAACACAAAATCCTTCTCCTCCTGGGAAGGAAACTGTACATGATTACCTAGTTCAGAGCTAACAAACCTAGTCAAATCTAGCTGTTCTCCACGTTTCATCAGGGGAGACATTCTTTGATGGGCCAATCTCACCGTCATGGGAAGTACCAAAAAAGACTCTAGTTCTTTTGAACTTCAGGCTTCACGCCGACACAATCACAACCCACTTGACACCACACACTAAAGCTGAGCTGAAATTAGCATCCAAGCACAAGCTACGCAAGCACTTGCTTTAAGAGAGGGCACTGGAAAAGCCTAACAAGCTTCAGATCTGAAACAGTAATATGGCCACACTATCAGCCTTCAATAAATATTGTCAGTAATGGACACACTGACAAACTCTCAGCAGCACAGTGCCAACACCTTAAAGAGCTGTACATTCAATGAGAAATTACTGCAAAACTGCTTTCAGCAGCAAAGAAAATACAGAACAAGAGACAACACAGTTCAAAGGGCATATCATACCTTAGTTCTCAGTGTGGAAAGTAGAAGATTGACAGTAGAAACTTTGTCTTCCTTTATTTCAGAACGAAGAATATCTGGAATGAAATCTAAGACGACATTTCAAATGTTAAGTGAAAACGTGAAAGCTATTTTTCCATACTAAAATGCTTCAGGGAATTCATACACCTTTCTCTTCAATGTCATATTATTTACCTTGCTGTTATATTTAAGGATGAACCAAAAGGCTGCAATCAGAGTTTAGAAGGATGATGCGTCTGTAACTAGAGCAATGAACAAGCGATGCTGCCAAACCTACTCTCATCGTAACTAGCTAATTTGACAACTCGGTTATTAACACTTCCTGCAACAGCATATGTCAACTTCAAATATATTTCGGGCTCCAGTGTTATGCAGTGTTTAAACTTCAGTAAATGCCCACTCTCCCCAGTGAAGGGCTCACAATTGTTTTGCAGTGATTCTCAAGTGTTTATGGGTGGCATCTCCAACAACATGCATCATCCTTTGGCTCACCTGCGCATCCCAAAGTTAGAGAACTTCAGTGTACAGAGAACCTCCGTATCTTACAGGGGAATGAAAGCCAGCTGTGCTGACTGGGTCTAGGTGTGCACTGTCATTCCCTGTCCTGAAAGGACTGAACAACTGAGCAATTAAAGGAAATCAGCAGCCCCCAGGGTGGTGTGAACAACAGAAGTAAATAATTATGGCCTGTTCTCACTCCCTCACCATAAAATAAATGGGTTGTTTTCAGCTAATGGCTCCCCTCCACCCACCCTAGATCCCTTCTGAATTTTTTTAATTTCTTTTCTCTTATCAAGGGTCTCAATTCACAACTTGAGAAACATCAGCAGCAGAATTCAAACCACTGAAGTCAACGGAAGTTTCAGCACATAAGGCATCAAGTATTAATCAAGTGTATGTAAGATCCTCTTCTTTGCTAGTTCAGTTTGACCCCCTTCTCTAAGAGACATAAACGCAACATCCTCCCATTCTGCATTCCCATGTCATGCCTCCGTAAAAGATGCAAGGGACATTACGCTGGTCTCCATAATCACTGACAAAAAGTGGTCTAACGGAGTACACAACAGCTACCCTGCATGAGAATAAAAGAGGAAGTATGCACAGTCTTTAACATATTTTTTTTTTAAATTTAATGCAACATCATTGGAAGAATCTCCCCAGGGAAGTGATGGATTCCCCAACACTGGACACTTAAGATTCAGCTGGACAGGGTGTTGGGCCATCTTGTCTAGACTCTGCTTTTGCCAGGAAAGGTTGATGACCCCTGAGGTCCCTTCCAACCTGGTATTCCGTGACTCTACTAGGTTATGAGTAAGGCTGAAGGCCATGAAGGGTTTTTTTTCTGCTTATTGAATCTACGGCCTCAAAGTTATATTACATTTGCCATTTTTACAACTGTGTCACCAAGGGCTTCCTATTTTTACAGGGATTTTGCAGACAGCAAACATTAGTCTCAAGCACAAGAGGCACTCACTAGAATAATAAAGAAATTTAAAGCTCTTCAGGTAATAAAATTAAAAATAGGTATTTTGTATCTTATTAGTGCTGTTTAACTGGTTCACATTTTGAATTAGTTCATATTTATTATCACCTATAAGTCTCTGCCTTAAAAAAAATACACAAGCAATTGTGAAATACCTTTTAATTCCAGCACCTGTCTCAAGATTGCATTGTCACCAGCAATTAAGAAGGAGAGGGCAAACTGAATGTAGGCCATACGGACATCAGGTCTCCCCTAAAAAAGGATAAAAGGCACTGTTGGCATACAGATTGTACATAACTCTAAAATTAATAATGCAACAATTGATTGTAAGTACTGTAAAATTAAGGTAAATTAAACAACTTCTATAAACACGTTGCATGTAGTCATACACACATATGTGTATGCAATACATCTACTGTATATTCGAGAGACTACTTCTGTTAAGCAGATTAGTCTGTTAAAGTTAACATCAGGAAGGAAGGTGTCCCAGTTCACATGTTTTTCAGTTGCCAATATATGAGACAGGCCATAAATAAAAAAACCAAAAAGTTTAACAGTAGTTTCATGCCAAACCCTGTACATGCATCACTGAACACCCTTACTTCTTCACCACTTGGTACACTAGTCAATTCACAAAAACACTAAAGAATGGTAATGACAGTAGTGCTGCTGCAATTCCTTACTATACTGGCTACCACAGCAGTGCTGGTCTTGGAGACTCCTGCTGCTTGCTGCCATCTGTGAGCTGCAGCGCACTACACGCATCTCTCAGCTATTACAGCTGCTCAAGGAGCCTCCTGGGTAACACAACTGAGACCGGCTACAAACAAAAACACTCTTAAAAAGGGGGCTGGTATATTACAGAAAAATAAATTCAGGCACAGTGGAAGTAATGAAAGCTTTGCCTGGAATAGGGTCACAGGATATCAACATGATTTGTAATTTTTTTGAAACTTACTGTGCAAAGTTAAGTTGCATGTAAAAAAGCCTGGAAGAAGATATGGACTGGGCTAAACCATAAGGCAGAAGTGACTCATGAAAGGGTTCAAAGAAGAAATAAAGAAATGAGATTTTGCTGTAAGCCTTGGGGCTGATATTTTTGTATTAAAAAAAAAACAAACCACCACCTCTGATAGCCAGTTATGACACTGTAATTTCTCTGACAGCTGAGCAAGATCTTCAATCTGGTTTTGGAAACTTCTTCCCTTACTTGCAGATCTAATAAGCCTGTGGTCAAAAGACTACACCCAAGCATTTAAATTTAACGGGTGGAGGTACTCCTAAAGGCCAGCTTCTGCAGTAAGGTTAAACAAACCATGAAATCTGACTCTCCTGACATTGTTTATATATAAAGCAATCAAGTAGAAGGCAAAAAAACCAAACACACAGCTTTCTCCCTGAAACCACTTTTCAGAATCTCATTTGTCACCACAGATGGCACAAACCCAACACAAACATACACGTTTATTCTGCAAGTCATCTTTAAAAAATAAAAAGAATGTATCGGTGCTGAAAATAATATTGGATTTATTATACACTAATATTTGGAATGAAATATAAATATTCTTGTTCTGAAACACTGGTCCAGGTCAAACCTGATTATTTTTAGCAATGGGAGAGAGAACAAGAAATAAAAGTTCCTTTTGGAAAGAGAGGAGTGACTTTTTCTACTCACTCACACATCCTCCTTAAGGATTTCCGCTAAGAGATTATTTAAAACCGCTGGTTATATTTTCAAACACAATTACCCCAACCCTACTAGTACTGGGCAAAATCCTCTCTCCATTCAAACACCTGCAGAACCTCCATTTATTTCAGTGGGACCAAACTGCAACCCACGCATTGGAAGAAAGACTGAACCCTTCCCAAACACATTACTGAATATTTTTCAGAAGTTTACCATTATTTTCACTCCCTTTCAGACATTAAAAGGGTATCCCACAGAAACACATTGATATTTCACCACAGCTTACTGGAAACAGACAAGGCACTTCGCAGTAAACTCTACAAGGCAGTGTGAAAAGAAGGTTATCCTGAGGAGCTCTGCACCCTGACAAGATGAGAAAGACCAGAATGGGATGGAAAACGAAGCACGTTGTACCTCAAGGGTGGCATGCCAGCTGCCCCGCTATCACAGACAATCAGAAACATGACCTGGGGATTTCCTGTATAAGTAGATGGGAAGCTTTTGCCCCACAGATCAGTTCTGATGCCAGTTAGAAACAATTAAGAAACATCTCTGCCTGATACAGGACAGGAAGGAAGAGGTAAGTTCTTGCAGCCAAAAATATAGCTTAATTTAAATACTTGGCAGAAGAAAATTGATGGAGCCATGGTGTAGCATTTCATAGCACACGGCAGCTTAATTTACCTTCTTACATCTTCTTTTCAATAATCCAGGCAGAAACTTATTATTAAAATCAAAATGGCTAAACACATCCCTTGCTGAATCTGGCCCCTGAGCCACCATGGCTGACAACAGGGTAAGGCATGCTCGGCTCATCCTAAAACGAAAAGCAGAGAAAAACCTGCAGGTTAGTTCCACGATGACAGTTAAACAAATCACCAAATCAAGAGATGAAAATTTAACGCAAGACCTTTTTCCCCCCCCTATTAAATAAATTATCCCACTCCACCTCCGACATCCACCCAAGCCTTCAGAAGCTTCAGGCATGAAACAGTCCTGCAGACGCGTATGTGTTTTACTGTGACAAGCAGCTCCGTAGGAGCTATGGCTGATGCTGAAGTTAAGGACACACATAGCGTAGGCCAAAGACAGGCTGCCTTTTTGTTTGTTTGTTTGTTTTAGCTGAATGACAGAGGTTTTCTTCAGTTTAAATATGCAGCATGGTCTTGTCATGAACTAAATCCCAAGATCTACACTCAGTTTTGATTTGTGCTCACTGACCACTGGGAAAATTTGCCTGAAAAAATAGAAGGGAAGGTAAAACAACCAAAACCATTACTTTAGGCAGTGATAATGGCAACTGGGAAGGAGGGGGAGAGGGAAGAAGGGAAAAGGGAATGCCTATTTATATTCTTCCTAAAAATTAAGCTGTAATGAGAAGCTAGATATTCACTTTATAAAGTAAGATTAAAGAAAGTGCCCAAAATTAGGAGCTCCTAAATATGCATGAGTTCACCATTTATTTCAATGGGAACACGACAGGGGCATCAGGTACAAAGCTGCAGACCTCCATCATTTGTATAGCCACTACCCATTTAAGTGTTTTGGAATCTGTCCGTCATGTTTCTTTCATGGACAATGTGTACCAGAGCCATGCAAGCTAAGCAGAGATTTCATCTAGACGTACCATCACAATAAAACCCCTCTGCACATCAAAGAGGCAGCACAGAAAACGCAGAGCATATACCACCAGAATACCATCAGAAAGCTGCAGCCTCCTCTATGCAGGGTCTAAAAGGATCTCTCCAAAAGCTGTCATCTTCAAAGGCTTAATAAGAAGAGATCTTGCATGGTTTCAACTTTTATTTTACAATATAGCTATCCACTCGTACTTGGGATTCTATGTACAGTTAAAATGCTTGTTGCAGTAAGATGAGATGAGTGGTGCAGGAAGTGTGGTTGTGCCCATGAACTGGAAAGCAGAAAAAGCTTTTCTAATTCTGGCCTGTCCGAAGACCTACAGACAAGTCATTGGCCTTGGACAAATCATCTGCAGCCTCCATTTTTTCCTCTCCCTTCCTCTTCCTCCCAGGTTTGTATTAAAATTTTTCTGGCACTTGGAACTTCTCTCACTCTGTCCAGAGTGTGAGTTGATGTTGTTTAGACAGGCTAGATAACACATGAGTGCTTAAATCGGCCTAAAATGGCCTTAGATTTAAAAGACAGGAAAAGTTAAAGAAAAGCCAACCTGGAAAAAAAAAATTATAAACATGAAAATCTGACTACAAAAAATACTCGGAAATAAACCACTCAAGGGCAGCTCTTTTTGCCATCACGAGATAGAGTGCTCAGCATCTGTGAACTACAAGAAAGCCTGCTCCTCCCTGTTCCAGGCAGTACATTTCACTTCACAAACCAGGCAGCATTAAAATAACAGGACTCCAGATACCACCCACTTTACTTCTCACTAGGAGAGGCACAACAGAAGAAAACCACAGCATCAAGAAAATATCATCTAGCTTTAGATTGTACATTATATCAAAGCTTACACCTTGCAAAGACTTTCACGTGCAATTATTTAAAAAAATGTGGAACAGTATCATCAAATAAAGGTGGATTATTAGCAGTAAGTAAAGCTGAATTCTGCACTATCTTGTACACATGTGCAAGACCCTCAGGATCAATTCAGAACAACTGACAGAGCTTCTCCGCAACATGTATGGAGAACACTTACCTGTGATTTTCAGAATACAAAGCAGCGTAGACCAATCTCATGTAGGAATGAATCAACTTTTTGACTATGTTCATTCCCACAACAGAAAAATGGGAGAGGTCACTGCCTGTCCTCAGCAAAATGGCTTCTAGAGCTTGAAAGATTAATAGCATCTGGAAGATATAGAAATAAGTTAGTTATCTGCCACTGTCAAGTACGGGTTGATATGATCAGCTGAACAATAACACACCCCATTAAAAAGAGAACCCCACCACAAGAGGAAAGCTTCTGCATATGAAGGCAGAGCTAACTTCTGAATTCTCTCCCAAAAATAGGCTGCTGCTTCTTTGAAAGGATTAGTTCTGAGAGTGAATTTTCAAGGAAACCCCCTACAGATACTATGAGAGACTAGAGAACCACAGGAGGTCAGCTTACTTGTGATTTTTTTTTTTCAGTCGCTAAACTCATGAAGTTCAGTAGTAGGGATGGACAACCTCCACTGGCAGCCCAGGCCAGCATGCCGACCGAAGGCCTGTACAATCCTAAACCAACTGAATGTAAACAAGGGTCCCTCCTCACAAGTGAGTTGAGACCTGCATGCATGATTTATCTGTGTATGCACAATGCCCACTGCAGTGCAAGGTGTGGCACAGGCTGAAGGTCCTGAAGGGCCTTCCCCAGCTGAAGGCCTGGGCCTAGGGCTAATGAAACAATGCTTTAAGAGACAACTGCTGGTAAGTCCACAATGCAACAGGCTGAAGAAAACCATCTGAGCTGCTCCAGTCTTGCAATTAAGTCCCTGTAGATGAGTCGTGAGCCCACATAGCACTGGGACGGTATTCATTACAAGTATTAGCCTCTATCAGTGGATGGATCTTGACGAAAGCATGTCACTGAACATGGCACAGGTCACCATTACACAGACAGAAGCGATAACCTAATGCAAAGGCTGACAAGCGGAGGTTGAAAAGAACACTGTCCAATTTTGTCATATGAAGTTTTAAATTAATAACGATGCCACAGTATTCACAGTGAAAAGAGTTTTTTAATTCATTAGCTCATTCATCATATTCTGATGAGGAAAAATTGTGTCAGCTCAGATGAGAAAGATCAGGTCAACTTTACCAATGGCTTCCTAGAAATACTGACGTACTAGGGAGATGTCTAGTTATCCGAAAACAACTACTTTCACTGGACTATTTCTTTTGTTTGCTTAACTGCTCCTGTCAGCCTCCTTATTTTTCAAATGATCGTATGATAACATGTAAAGAATCTTAACTGCTTGATGTTGGCAGGACTGGTGGTTGTGCTGGCATCATTAAATCCAGGAACACCTTGGCACTGAAAGGGCATTTCCCACTTTAACAGTGCTTCTCCCACTGTGACTTTGGGGAGGTGGGGTGGAAACAAACCCTATACAAGGTTATTTACAGCACAAAGCACTTCTTCAGGGGTTCCTCTCCCAGCCGGGACACATGCTGCCAGTCATTAACCTACAACACCCACGGCCAACTTACTTCATTTTCAGGCTTTCTTTCTCCATCCATAAGTCTGAATATTTCAGCACACTCCATGGAAATTTTTACGTATCCCTCCACGACATCATATATATCAGGTGATGGCAGCGTCTTAGCAACGGAGATGAAGGTCTCCAGACCTGCAATGGGAGAGTTTCACCCGGGGCGCCAATGCCTCGCGTGGGACACGCTACGAGCCGCCCCCC